ACCATGCAATATCAACACTTGATAACACTTTCACGTTAACACTTTAAATCACTTTTCACCTGTACCACGTACATAACTTTCACGTTAATTTGACACAAAAAAACACACTTCCACTTTAAGAACACCGCAAAAATGCCTTGTATATTATTAGGAAATACTGGTATTATTGCTGGGTTGAATGTAACAGGTACATTTTATTACATAAATGTTGAGTGCTATAATCAATAGTGACTAGCAAGCAAATTGCAGAGAAATGCGCTTGGCTGCGATACTTCTTCTGTGCATCAGCTGTACACTATAGGTAGTTCTGCGGAGTAATCCAATTGATAAAACACAGGCACAGAATTAATTAAAAAGCACACACACACTGCATTAATCACTATTGTAGAAGACGATAATCCTAAGTCCTGGTAATGCCGGAAAAACAGTAACTTTTGAAGTAGCAGACCGATCTTCTTCAAATTTACAATCTCATACAGCCCATGGCTTGAATCAGAAGAATCCGTTTGAACAAAATCGCTAGGCCAATTAGGGGCTTAATTAGCGATTCGTTTAATTGCCTCCAGTACCTCTTTCTCCCTTTGTTGACAACAGGAAATCACTCGGGTTAACAGGCGACGGGGGGTCGAATGCTTCTAACTGACCGTAGGGACGGGGAAAAGGTCAAAGTTCACGGTGAAAAACTTGTAAAAGCAATTAAAAATCAATTACTCGGCATCCATTGACCGCACACATACATAATTACTGTCAAATTGCTCAGCGTAAAATACCGCATCCGACGATACTAAACACCAGTGACATCGGGCAACGGCGGCTGCTATGCGAATCTGGAAGCACAGTTCAATATGAATTACCACGTGCCGCGACGCGTTGAGGCAGTAATTAGTCTCTTAGTAATTACTGGATGATCCGATCTTGACGAACTTGGTGTCTAATTAAAGCTGAACGTCTTGGCTATACATAGCAATTAAAATTAAGACAATCCGCTGAATATTTCCGCTTCTAATGAGGAAAATGCCGGAGCTCATAGAAACAACCTACACTCGTCCCTCTAGGCGGGTCACTCATTCGAATTCACATCTGGATTAAAATTCCATCGAATAGGATAGTGACATGGGTGTCCGCCAGAAGAATGGCAGTAAAAACATCGCGGACGAAAACGTGGCGGAGAAAACAACGCAAGGCGACAACGTCGTCGTGCAAAACATTGTGGGACAAAAGAAAGCAAGTAGAAAATATCACAGTTCTAAAACATCGTGGTACAAAACATCGTCTTGAAATAAAGCGGTTAGAAAACATCATCGTCGAAAATATCGTGGAAAAAAATAAAGCACTTACAAGTCATCATCCCATGACGCTAACATTGCAGATATACGTTTTTCAGGCTTTGAAAGTTGTGAATGCATATTCATATAATGATTTGGGGCACAAGAAGGAATGGGGAATATTTTTAGTTTTATTTTTCATACTTTAAAATTAACTAACAAATTTAACTGCACGCTGTGCATGAAAAAGTTAATGACACTTTAAGAAGACGAATGAAGTGTAACGTACAAGGTTTAATTTTTGCTAAGATTAACTAAAGTGAAAGAAAATAATTTTACAATTAGATAAAAATTAAACAATTTTAATAGAGGTAACCTCATACAATTACGTATTTTCCTTTTTCTAATCATTTTTCGACTATATTTTCAGGAAAAATTAAAAATAAAAAAAATAATTAATTAATTATTAGTTAACTATATAAGTTTAGCTTGCAATTAACTGCTATAAGTAGCATTAATTTCTATTCATTTTCCGTTTAAATTTCACTTTTTACTTTTCAGCAGAAATTTATAAGTTAATTAAAAATGCGATATATAAAAGTATAAATATTACTTATTCTTTTTAAGTTCCCAAATCATTGTGCGAATATACATTTACAACTTTTAAACCCGAAAAAAGCATGTCTGCGATGTTATCGTCATACGATTATTTGAAGGTGTTTTATTTTTTAGCACTCTCGACGACGATGTTTTAAAACTGCGATGTTTTTTAACCGCTTTATTTTCAATGACAATATTTTGTTCTACGATGTTTTAGAAATGCCAGGCCTCTCCTTGCTTACTTTTCTCCCACTAAGTTTTGTACGAAGATGTTTTTCTCTTTGCGTTATTTTCTTCGTCCGCGAGAATTTTCAACGAGAAAAATTTAATCAAAACAAAAATTTCTAGTTTCCTGGAAGTGAAAAAATTAGGCGACATAACATATACGAGCGTTCAAAAAAGGTGCTTCAAAAGAAAGGCTTTTATTTTCTTAAATACTAGTCTTACATGTATACTTTTTGTTGTGATGTTTATTAAAAGTACAATTTGTTACAAAAGCAGTTAGGCAATTCGATTCTGGCAAAGCGCATAACAGCTAACTCGGCGTAATGAGAAATATATCTTCATCGAATATTTTTCAGAAGGGGTAGCTGGCTCGTATTCACGTTCTACATGGAAAAGCAATTGAAACTTTCATGGAACCAACTCGTTCACCAGCATCTGAGCCCGGATTGAACCGCCAGTCATTAACAGTCTTATCCATTTGGTTGGTGAACCTATGAACGCAGTTCCAATATTGTTGGTGGAAGCGTTTAGTATTAAATGCTATCCGCTACCCGACAGTACATCGCCAAATATACCACCCATAAGAGTCCTGCGGGCATTCGCAACCTTAAAAGCTTTTCAGAATTCTTCAGCGAAGGTGAAATTTTTAATTTCTTTTCTTAATTAATGTTCTTTCTCTCTCTCTCTCTCTCTTTTTTTTTTTTTTTTTTTTTTTTTTTTTTTTTGAGGGATGCTAAGAGAGGGTAAAGATGGCTTCTTTTTACTTCCTTGTACGAAGTAAAAAGGAAGTATTGCAATCACGAAAAGTTTCAGGCAGCATATTTCAAAAAAATATCTCATTTTGACCTCTTTCAAATGGAATTTAACGATGTATTTCCGTGATATATGTACGTAAGTACAGAATAAAACAATCTTTTCCTCCAAAAAAATTATAAAACTGCTTTAAAATGAATTCTCAAGAGAATTTTTCGTGGCGTCTGTACGAACGTATGTACGTACGTACGTATCTCGCATAACTCAAAAACGAGTAGCCTCAGAACGTTGAAATTTTGTATATAGGACTGCTATAACCTGTAGATGTGCACCTCGTACTTTGGTTGCAATCGGCCGCACCAAACGTATATAAATATATTTATATATATATCCACTCTGTTACCCGGCACAGTGATCTCAGTTTCTTTACTCTTATATGTTTGTAAATTGTACATTTTTTGCTTTAAAAATGACTGAATTATGTTGTTCTTATCTTCCGGTTAAGGTTTTTATGCCTTTAGTAAATCTGTCTGCAATATTTTTAGAATTATCAACAATTTTAAAATTGTTTAAGTGCCGCTAAGCCTAATAATGTTTTTGATGGCGGCCATTGCTCTTGTTTACATTTGAAACAGCAGGAGAGCGGATTTGTTGACAATCTAGAGAAACTTAGCTTCGCAACAACAAAGATAACGCCTTCATTTATTATTTAAATGATGCTTAATCCTTTCTGGAATTTTTTCGAGGAAATAAGTGTTTAAGATTAACTTCGTAATTTTTAATATAGATATTTTGAGTTTTTATGTATTTTTGCCTTCTCGCGAAGTGAGAACGGAATTAATTAAATGAGAAATACTCAATCGTCTGTGAAAAAACTGTTTCTTTTTTGTTTTGTTTGCTTAATTTCTTTTATACATCGTTCTAGCTTTATTATAGTATTTGAATAGAACATGTGACAACGATTAGATAATTCTTTAAATGATATAAATTTGGTGCATTCTGAGTTATAATATGAACGAAATATAATACTGTTAAGTAAACCTAGCGCCAGAGTGTCGCTATGGTAAACAAAGTGAATTTTAAAGAATGCATTTATTCTATTGTGGTTTATTCGGTGTCGGCGAAGTAGGTTTAATTCAATCTAATAAGTTTAAATGAAATGCAAGAAAAAATGCGTATAATTTAATATTCCGTACAAGGAAGTCATGTGGTGTACACATCAGATTTTTTTGTTTTACCGTTAAACTTGATCCAAAGTTAAATGTCCACACGCAAACAGCGAAAAGTTTATGGAGATCAGCAAACTTAAGAAACAAGCAACAAAGTGGTTACAGCTCGTCATAACTTAGCATTCTTACGTATAATAGACATAAAGACACAGATAAAAGCTGCAGAGAATAATAATCTGTTAATGCCACTTTGAATACAATTGCAAAAAATAACCTCAGGAATTCAAAAAACAAATTTGATCGCTGAAAGACGTCAGTAGATTATTCGCGGCGTATCGGTGAGTACTGCATAATCGAGAAGTGAAAATAACCAATATATTTTAAAATGCATATCCCTGTATAAATTTTTACGTTAATAACAAAGACTCGTTTGCTTAAAAATGCTATTTTTCAATTAAGAAAGCTACTTTTTGCAAAATGGTAGGTAAAACAGCAGTTAAGGCCAGTTTCGGATTAATTTCGTGTAAATTACATAGTATGCCATCTAGGTTCATGGAAAATGTTTCGCTACATAACAAAGATATTTTTCAAAACTGAGAATGACGTAAAAATCGACTTTAGTATTTCGTGCAAAGCAGCCTTTACGCAAGGCGGGAAATTGTTATACTGGAAACAACCTCCGTTCTGTTTTTTCATCGTGTGTATGCTTGATGCTTGCAGAGATGAGCTTTAACCTTGATACTTGAGCCAATTCCCGTTTCATATTTCAAGGCAAACGAGAATCCCATCTGCAGCCTGAAGTCTGTTCATAATTCTTTTGAGCACTTCATTATTTTTTACTTTTATGAAATCTAATACACTAAATCATTCCATTTTGTCTGGTTTGCTTGTTTATTATGGTTTTTACTTGGGTTCAAAATAAACATTTCGGATTTAAAAACTTCAAATCAAGAATAGCCTTTTATTATAAATGCACAACAGAAAGAACAAAAACATATTCGAAACATTACAGCGAATGCTTTTAAGGTCATAAACAGCCGAAAATTTTATTTTCTCGGTTTATCAAAATCTAGTGAAAAGTCCCCAGGTTTATTGAAATAATGGAATTTATTCAATTGCAAGCAAATTAAGACTTAAGCACCTGATATTAAATAACATTTCAATCAATTTATTACCATATCTGTAATTATACAATTAATGATTTATAGAAAATTTATTTATTAAATAATTTAAAGAAATTTTATTTATTTATTTATTTGATCAAATCTCATGTAAAATGATTTAATGCAATATACATTCTTTTAGCACAAAAGCTACACATAAATTTATCTACATTCATCGTCGAAATTACTTCCACCCGCGGCAGTTTAATGAAAATTATGTACCATCCAACAGAAACTACCAGCTGCCTGTTCAAAGAAATAAAAATATTAAATAAGATAAGTGGAAATACATGGGAAGTTATTAATTAACTTACCATTTCCAATTAGAAGACATTCTGAAAGATTTACTTAAACTAACTCGTTATCTTTTATGTTAAATACCTGTATTTCTACTGTCAGTCCATCAGAAACATATATAACAATCCAATATAAAAATATAAATTAGATGGGTTTTAAATAGGCAGAGAAAGTAAAAATTAAACAGACATTTTGTCAACGCAAACTAGAAATATTAAATACTCTCGGTATCTACCTGCTGGATTTCCGTGTTCGGTTCGGTAACCGTCTTTAGTTAATACACTAGTGTTCAAAACTTAAGCAAGAAACTTATTTTACAACACGCAACCATGAAAATGCTGGAAAGCGCTTTTTAACAATGAAAAACCAACAATGGAAATGAAAGACCAACTCGGAACAATGAAAAACCAACTCGGAACAATGAAAAACCAACAATCATTACTCTAGTACAATGAAAAACCAACTCGGAACAAAGGTGATGCGTATGCAGATACCAGCACTGTGACATTAGAGACTACTTCAGGCACGCAAAACGCGAGTAAGGCAGTCGGCAGTGTAAGGCAACTTAAAAAGAAGAAAAAAAGGATTATTTCCAGACATTTTTCTGAAAGTAAGTTTCTACGTGCAGGAAGGACGACTTCATACATAGGACCTATTCTCCTGCCGTCCTGAACGCAGCAAATCATTGACAGCAGCCGATTGACGGCAACGTTTAAAGAACATAGAACATAAAGGCCATAGAGAACATAAAGACCCTGACAGCTCGTCAGTGGAGTCATGTCCTCTTTACCGATAACAGTCATTTCAGGCTGACAAACGAATCTCGACGCTAATTAATATGAGAAGAAGTATGGACACGCTTTCATCCCACTAACGTCGGAGAAAGAGACCGTTAGAGTGGTCCTGCTGTGCTTGTATGAGGAGGTATTATGATGAACCGAAGGACAGAGCTCTACATTTTCGACAGAGATACTCAAATTCTCAAAATTTTGCGATTTGTACTTAGCACGCTTCATAAATATCACAAATTATGTAAAATAATTAATAGAAATATTACCAAATTTTTATATGCATCAATTCCCTTGGTAGGGTTCATCTCAACATGATGTGGGTGCAACATCCATTATGGATTGTGTACAAAGATGGGCTAACAGATTCAACCTTTGCACAGTGTCAGATTGCAATGTCGACCTTTGCACAATGTCAGAGTGGAAGAGAACCTTTGTAACATGCTTTGTAACTTTGTAACCTTTGTAAATATGCAAAGAACTTCCACAAGCTTAAGACCATTAGTGGCCTAGTGGATGAGATCGACTCGGATCCAAAACCCGGCAAGCAGGTTGACTGCATGAATGCCTTCCATGGATTTTTCCTATGCGTAGGGGGGAAAAGAGCCACAGTTTCTCTTAGAAAGTCCTTCGAAAAGGTATCTCTCTTTTTAGGCAGTTAGCTCTAGTGAGTCCTGTTATAAATAAATTAATTAATTTACTATCCGAGAGCATAGGGACAAAATCCTATTCCATTTATTCCAACAACATGCATGTCTTAATGGTTTAAGTTTCGTGTATCAAACAATGCTTTAAGAATATTTTATGAAACTTCTATCGTATGCGGAAGACACATATCCATTGTTTTTTACTTTGGATCTAAAACGATTTAAACTTCAAAATTCCCGAAACACGATTAACTTCTAAAAAAAAAAATTACGATCGAAGATAAAGAATAGTGTAATTTAAAAATAGCGATAATAATTTTAATATCATAAAGCATCAAAAGTCTTCTTATAGTTTAAGGAGATGATTTTTTACTTCTAAGTTTTCTTTAGGATTTACCACTGTTGAGTGTCTTAAGGTGGAATAACATGCCAAATATAAGTTCATGCGATTGTTAATATGAGTAATGAACCACAATGGAAAAAATCGATTTCGTTTTTACTGAAATATTATTTCAGCAGTTTAGTAATTCAAAACTGCTGCTTGCTGTCTTGCAAGCATATGTTCAAATTTGAACATAGAAATGTAATGGAGCCTAATACTTTCTAATAATTAACTGCAAAATTTATCTCTCTGTTTTTTTACAGAACTTTGAATTTGTCGGCCTCTGATAAAACTGTGATCCTTGAAATATATCTGAAGCATTGTTTGATTGTAATATTCACACATTGGAGAAAAGTTACTATAGTACAAGATTTGTTCTTCCATGAAATTACGGAATTATAGCCAATAGACCTTACAAGAAATTATTTCTTACAAGATCCGTGATCATAATCTGCTCAAAAGCAACTATTCCCAACTCCCTTTCTCTTTTCCTTTTTCCTACTTCCATATGTCAAGTGACATTATTAAACTCTAGCGTTGAAGAGAGCCTAACCTTGTTTATCTATTGACCTTCAAGTGGAAGAGATATAACGAAAGTGAACTGCACATATCGCAAAATATCAATTAGAAGGTAATGCAATCGAATATTAACAATCGAAAATTAATATATATATATTCTGGGAAAATGTAAAATTTCTTGAAGCTGATATTATCTGAAATGAACTTATTGGGTTTCGAATGACCACTTGGATTTCCATTTGAAATCATCCAAGTAGTTATTAAACTTTAACAATTATCACTAATTAAGCTAGTGTGCAATTGCTGCATTCTTTATTACTTGTATAAAATGCTACAGTTTGATACGAACAACCAGTTTCATCACTACTAAAATGCTACATCGTTACGAACGAGATATATCATTTCTCAAAATCTTCGCTAAACTCTGAACGTTAGCAACTCCTTATATTACCCGTACTCCTAAATTTTTTATTAGCAGCACTAGAGTTTTTCTTATTTGCCAAGCGTTACCACCTTTTATTTAAGGTTCTCGCACCAGCTCAATTAGGAAAGTTTTATTATCCGTGCAATATCAGTTTCACAAAATTTTATAAGAGGTACGCTTGCGAAGATGCGGAAGAACGTGCAGGGGGGGAGGAAGCAGCTTTTACAAATCTTCACGAGAGTGTTGCAGGCTGGATGTTGGTGAGACAGAACTAAATATTTCAACTGTTATTGTAAATATCAAAAGTAATAGTCCAGTACCTTCTGCATTAATACAGATGGTATATTTATGTTTGATGTATATAATTATCGAACATAGTCTCTGCCCATTAGTTGTTTTGTAAATTGGAATTTTTTTAAATTTTAATTTATATTAGCTTATTTTTCTTTTTCTATGCATTTATTTTTAATTAGATTTTAGCCCAAAGGGGTAATTTTGCCTAGAAGGACTATTAATTTATTTTCGGCTTTTTGCGGTGAAAACTTAAATGCCTCAAATCACTTTTCAAATTGTTGCCACCAAATACACCAAATAGTATCGCCCTGTGGTATATTTAAAGAAATTAAATAATGAAGAATCTGCATCAGTGTATGCATGCTTCTCGTATTGTGATAAAACAATGGTACCTACAGACGTCAAAAGTTTAATAACGCAATCTCCCACCCGAATATGGGCATTTGGATGTCAAAATTTAGCAACACTGTACGGCAAAAAAATATTTTAATCTCTAGCGCGCGAGACTGTGTATCGGAAATTCTAAAGATATGCTGTTTTTAATTTTTTGTGATATTGCTTTTGAATTGAATTTTATAGTTTAAGTGCGAAGAACATGATATTTAATAAATAAAGGTAATTCACAATGCGTTAAAAAAGCCCCTTTAAGCGTAATATAAAATCTGAAAATTTTCACACTTTTTTTTTACTTTTTGTATTAAAATTTACACTTTTTTGGTAAGTAGTATTTATTTTTCAGTGACATTCATATTTTGGTACATATTTATAGATTATAATTACTCTGCAAATTGGGAGGTTTGTATACATTGTAGATTTTTGTAAAAGTTCCCAGTTTAGCGTTAAGTAGTTTTAGGAGTGCTTAGCAGTTATAAGCTTAAGTGACTGATTTTATCCATTGCATTGCTTTATAAATAAAGTCCTGCATGCATACTTATATGTGCTTAATATATATGTAGTACAAATTCTATATTTTTCGCTGTCTTTTATATGTTAATGGTACTTTCAAGGGTAGGGTGATCAGTAATCAATGAAGGTAGCTTGACTTACATATCATATGTTTTATATAAACTATGCGTTATTTTAGATATAAATACTCAAACTAGTGGTCACTAATATTATGTAGTGCTATGCAAATTATGAGATCAAAGTGTGGATTTGCCTAGTTTATTTCTCTTTGCTTTATAGCACTGTATGATTATGTAAAATATATATATTTCAACTCTACATAGATTAGCAAGGTTGTTTAGTTTACTAAGGAAAGGCTGTTAGTATATTTGAAGATTCATTCTTTTTTTAATCTATTTCTTGGTTTATGTTAAAAAGCGCTCGCCGAATTGTTATAATATATAAAACTTGGAAACAAAACTTTGATGCCCAGTTATTATCTGGTAATAACCTACGATCAATGCATTATCTCTCTCTGAGTATAAATGTTTTGCTCGTGCAATCTTTACATACAAATATCTCAATATTGTGTACTACCTATGGCTATGTCAATTAGGGGCCTTTTATGTCCATGTAGCTTATTATTAGACTCAATAATTGTCTTCTGGGGTGTTACAACACTTTAAGATCTTACCCGTAAAGGTCAGGCCAATGGTCACCTCTGGTAGTTTTTAAACTAAAACATTAAACCTGACGTAAAGTAGGTATGAGAAAAAAACGCCGCCTACTGATTCTATTTTACAGGGTAACCTTAAGCGTTGTATCAGAAATCACTAGCCACAACTTAGCAATGCATCCTCTATTCAACAACGAAATCAAAGAACATCATTGAAGATTAACTGATCCTATAGAAGTGGATAAATTCTTAGGACTTAATTTTGGAATGCGGTTTACAAACAAAGAGCTTCAAAATTACTGGTTTAGCAAATCAGTGCTAGCAACACAGACCA